TGTCTTTTTATGATACAAAACGACCCTGAAAATCCCAGGTCGCTATCTCAATTCTTTCTCGAGTTATCGTGCGTACAGACGGACAAACAGACAAACAGACAAACAAACAGAATGAAACTTTTCCGGTCAGTGGAGTAATGGGCTTCGCTAATCGCTCAGCCAACAAGAAAAATTATAAAATGAAAAAGACGCGTCGTGTTAAAATCTATAAGAAGGTATGTTCAACTCAAAACACCCAAAAAAGGCACATAGGATGGTCTTGCGGCATACCGAAACAGATAGGATGGTCTTGCGGCATACCGAAACAGATAGGATGGTCTTGCGGTTGAGCGAAACAGATAGGATGTTGTTGCACGGACACGACGATTAATCTACACAGTAAGTAAAAGTCAGAGCACGGGTTTGAAAAGAAGAAACAGATTTTCGCAGAGACCCGTAGTACTTTACCTCAAACATAACAACCTCAAACATAACCTTAGCATGCTACCGCGGTACGGTATTTTGTTTCAAAATAATCAATTCTTTATGCCCTTTTGTCTGCATCGCTGTAAGCTACCAATTACGTGCTGTGTTCATTGATCTGGATCTCCGTACAATCACAAGCAAGAAAATAATCATGTGCCGCCAAAACCTTAGTGTGATATGCTATTTCCATCCATGGGAGGAATTTCCAGGGACCACTAAGTACCAATGCCATATTATTGCCATGGAATCCATTTCCATCGAACAATGCTTTCCCGTGTAATCACTGTTCCAGGGAAAATTTTACATGGATGTAACCAAATTACTCAAGGGATTTGAACTCCATGGAATAATTTCCGGCGGAATTTTCAGCTGGGATATTGAATGCCAATGTTATCATTTCTGCTGGAATTAGGAAAAAAAGTGTACTCACGGAATACAGGTACACCTCTGACGGGCCAGCATGCCTTGGAGAACCCACGACTTACACACAAAGTTCATTGCTTCGTTAAAATTAATTCCAGTGTTCACGCCCCAGTGAATTGTGTATGGCAGCAGGTATAGGATATCGCCTGGCTTCTGGACAATCTGTTGGCAAATATGTACAAGATTATACCAATGAATTGGACACATAACGGATACAATTTTATGCAGCAGTCAGCAGAAAAGTGTTGGCCACAGCAGTTACACTGGAACTCACAGTAAACCGTCCGAGGATCTAACCACAGTTTTTTGTGTTCAAGGAAACAGTTTAGGTTTTTGGATTACGCGGGATCTCGTGGATTATGTGCAGATTATGTGGATTATGTTGATTATGTGTAGATCACGTAGATTTTGTACGGATCACGTAGATTATGTGCGGATCACGTGGATTATGTGCGGATCACGTGGATTATGTATACGGATCACGTGGATTATGTACGGATTATGTGGATTATCAACGGATCACGTGGATTATGTGCAGATTATGTGCTCAGCGAACACTTATTACGTGCAGTGAATTTCCCCTCGTTAGAGATAGAGCAAAACGGACGAAATTTTCGCTCCAAAGGTTTCTAGTTCGACGATTTGCCCCTTAGGGAGAACATAAAATAAACAAGCAGGCCGGCCCTTCTGCCAAAAGAAGTTACCAGCTCCGCTTCGCTCCGCCGGCAACTCCGTTCGGCAGGGGCCGGGCCTGCTTGGCCTGCCGGCGGCGATGGTCGGGCCTGCGGCCCGACCATTTCTGTCACTTGATTTGCTGAAGAACATGATCGACTGATGTAGCGGGCCAACCCGCCATCTTTGAGTTTGCCCCAAAGACTCGAAAAAGGGATGTAACGGTGAAGCACCGCGACTACAACCAACCCTTCTGCTTAGAAAACGTTTTTTGGGGGTGGGGGGAGAGTTTCCTTTCTATTTTGCGGTTTTTAGGCCTTTTTCTACATCTGATTGTATACTATGGCAATTTTTAGCTTATTTTCGTCTAAAAAGATCCTCTAGCGCGTAGACAGTTAGAGATATAGCAAAACGGACGAAATTTTTGTCAAAAGGGTCTTCTTTAACAAGTTACCCCTAAGGAGATCTACGGTTACTTTGATACCCCCTTTCAGCCCCTTAGGGGTGGCTGGCAGGATTTGCCGTAGGCGTTTTGTTTTGTGGGAGTGAACCTTGAGATCCCCTGAAAATTTGAAGTCTCTAGCACATCTCCTTCTTGTGGAACAGACAGACACACAGACACACGGACAGACAGACAGACACGAGGTCGTTTGCATAAGCCCGCTGGATAGCATTTTAAAAGAAGGGCGGGCTAAAAATACTTCTTGGGAGAATTTTTGAACCTTGGATACCCCCATTTACACCCTCAGGGGAGGTTGCCAGTATTTGCCGTAGACGTTTCGTTCTCTAGGAGTGGACCTTAAGATACCCTGAAAATTTCAAGTCTCTAACACATCTCCTTCTAGTGGAACAGACACACAGACAGACAGACACGAGGTCGTTTGCATAAGCCCGCTGGATAGCTTTTTCAAAGCAGAAGGGCGGGCTCAAAAAGAAAAAAAAAGCGTCACCTGGCACAGCCAGTCTCTAAACGCGATCGCAGGCTGGTCTGCCGCATATTGTTAGCTGATGCTTTTGCTCGGGTTCACCCTTGTGGGCTGTGTAAGTGAGGACGGCAGACGGCAGCGGGGCATCATCCCCCACCCTCCTCCCAATCCACACTCTGAGTCATAAGTGAGAGGGAGGAGAGCTTGCATGCTTATGAAATACACAACTGTTCATCCGTACTTTTCTACAAAAATCCGAAAAGCCCACATTATTCAATGTGGTCTAAAAAGGCTTCACGTGCGCATACCGGGCATCAAATTAGAAATAGTTTTGCGAATGTTGATCTTACATGTTCTTACAGTGTTGGAGTCCGACATCCATCCACAAAACCCCAGTCCCCTTCCCCTTCCACACCTCTCACCGCCAATCACCTGCCAGGGCCCAGCCACAGGCTCATCTTTGGCCTACGACTTCCATTCAAATTTTATTGGTCTTA